AGCTATGAATTAGAAAGCAAATAATGACGATGAATGTATAAAAGGGAGTTTTACAATGATGCAAGACTCAGTGTTTGCAATTTTTGTTTGGCCGGCCAAAATAGGAAACAACTAACGGTCGATGGCCAGTAGCCAAATTTCGGTCAAAAGTTTCTAACTTATATAATATTAACCAATCATATTACTAGCTTTGCTATATAAATATTTGGCCATTTCGGCAAATAATTTTTCTGTTCAATTCGGCCATTGGCCGGCCAAATGGCCAAGTGACAACACTGCAAGACATTAAAACATATATATATATCAGTATATACCTGTTTAAAAAAATTCATAGAAGGTTCTTGCGAATCATCAAGTTTTTTAAGAGCAACTTTGGTCGGTCCATTGCGACACCATATAGCACTAACTTCGTCCCAGATCCATCGGGGACCTTCCATCCAATATCCTTCATATACGCTACCAAAACCACCTTTAGCGACATATTCAAACCCTTCGATATTGCTAAATTCTATAAATTCTAAATATTCGCAAGTACGTGTTGCATTCTTTTGTGTTTGCGAAATTAATAGGTCGATATATTTATTTCCACTTCTCGAGAATGTTGAGCACATCCAGCGGAATTCACAAGGATTGCACCATCCGGAGGGCCTTATGCAACCACATTCAGGACAATTTATATCATTTTCTACGTCATCACTTTGACTCATTGAAAAATATTCTTCTGATTCTAACTTTAATCGATAGTGGAATTTTGAAATTAATGAGAAAGATATCACAAAGGTTTGAGTTTATATGCATTTTTTTTTTATCATCGGCATTTTTGTTACATTAAATAGTAGATCCATTATAAATTACAAATTCGTACCAATATGTTAATGTAATTTTTATTGTGATTTCCTTTTTTTGTAAAGTTGCATTTATTTGTATAATTTATCGGGCAATTTTAGGATTGAGTTTTATTTTAGCAAGCAAATTTAAAGAAAAGGTCGAATTCACTGTAAAATCATAAAAAAAAATTGTAAGTACCAACTTGTAATATTGTCTATAAAAATTGAATGGTTTAAATGAAATTTAAAGAAATGCAAAAAAAAACTCTATTGGAAAAGATAAATGTAGGTGACACGTAATACAGAAAGAGCTAATTTAAATTTCCATAACAATTAAATAGAAAATAAACAATTAACCTAAAGATTAAATGCATTACGCGTAATAACACCCGTATTAATATGCATTAGTTCATATGATCGTAACCGTTTTGGCGTATCACACGATAATGCTTACCAATTGTTTATTTTAAATCTTTGATTCTTTCATACTAAACAAGCAATTAATTTATCATTTATGAAATAATTAAACGCTATTTTTTTTTAAAAAAACTCTTGCATATGTATGCCATCTCACATTTTATTATCATACTCGATCCATTTACGTACGTACGTACTTTTTGTAAACACTCGACATTTTAATTGATTATTCAGGGGTACCCATGCAATCAAATAACGTAAGATTGTTTTCGTCACAAAAATAAGTCGCGTGACTGATAATCGTTCTCCGCCCCTCCGATTGTGGCACCAAAATGGGGTATCTCCGAAGATTAAAGTTTTTTTTTCTCCAAATATATATTTTGAATGTAAATGTATCTCATTGGTTTTTCTATTAAAGGAAATTATTTGTTTGAATGAAAATTGCGTATTTAATAAACAAGAAATGCAAGCACAACATTTAATACGTAACAAATTTCGGGGCGAATGAGCCAAATATTGACATTTATCCCGCCATGAATATTGTAAATTTTATCCGCCCTTTTCCCTATCAAAGAAAAAAGGCTTTTAAGTAAAATTGTAGAACAACCTTTTATAATTTATATCCGTAGTTTATTTACATATGTATAAAGTTTCATTAGATCTTCAAAGTTTGGCTGACATGGCCTGGGGCCTTCCAATTCCCGTAACACTAAACAAAGGCTCTTAAAATTTCCGGTTATAAATCACAAGTTTGCAAACATTTTTTAATGTATAGCATATACGTATGTACGCAAATTTTTTCCATATCCTTTTTACTCTTAGTTAGGATCAGTTACCTTGTATCATTATTCCAAAAGTATTGTTGAATTTTGCAATTCCATCCTCGTTGACAGAAATACTTGTAATTATCAGGCAGCCTACTATTGCTATGATAATGCTTGACAAATAATTATTTGGCAGTGATTACGTTAGCTGCCAAATAACTTCGTTATTTGGCAGCTGATGTAATCAATGCCAAAAAATTCGAGTCATTTAGCAAGCACAATCGTCGTAAACCGTCGGATAATGCCTTTATTGTATGCTACACAGCCAATAACTTGTTGTTTGGCTGCGAATTTAATATGTTTCATTTCTAGTCCCGGAGGGCCCAGAATCTGACTTGCATATTAAATTTCACAGCCAGATAATGAATTAATTCTCGTTGGCTTCTTCGAATCCATACCAAAATATTATTTTAGCAACTTTTTTTGTACATCAGTTTCGTGTGACATTGCATACCTTCACGTTTAATAAGAACTGCTTTAGTGAATAGGTGCCTCGTATAAGCGTGTTGCCAAGAGAAAAATTTTACGTACAAATTTAAATTTTCACCATACCAAACATTCAAAAACTATGATACTACATAGTTTAGTTATACAATTATTATTCCGGCACACAAATATGCTGCTCATTTCGACAATCATTTCACCGAAAGTTCAATTGGCCGACACCCCATGGAGGTATTCAGTAAAGTAGTACTGTACAGCAGTACAGATTCATCGTACATATGGCTAATATAGACTTGCAAAAATCAATTTTTATAAATGACTATTTTGAATGGTTTGGGTTAGGGTTAGTCTTGCTTCATGTTAGGTTAGTAGGGAAATTAACTTTGATTTGACGAATTTTTTCTTTTACGAACCGTACGTACTATCATGATTTCTACATGTTCTCCTAATTTGCGTTTCTATACTATACTATTTTACTATATACTCGCCACATAGGGTTAGGGTTAACATTTTATTAGTTACAGGTACGTACGTACATATATATTTTTATTAAATTATCACTTAGCGTGATATCTGCAAATGAGTTGTTGGTGAAATAATTGCCAGAATCCAAAATATCTTTCAAGCTATTTAAAATATATACTATTAAAATAACATAATTGTTGTAATTTGGTTTAATTATATTGTATCTCTAATTAAAATTTGCTTCAGATCAAATTCAAATATTGAGTTTCATTAGGGTTAGGGTAAAAACTATTATTGATAAAAAAAATCAATAAATAAAACATATAAACTATTTAATTTTGATATGTTTTATATAGGCAAAGAATATTTATTAAGCTATCACGAAAATACTAAGATATTTTGTTTTCTATTGATTTTTTTCCAGAGCCTGTACCTTTTGATAGTTACTTTTAATAAAATTGTTTATATCCCAAGTTCATTTGATTATTAAAATATTTCTGCATGAACTAGAACAAAAATTTCACCAACCAAATAATTTCAAGTGTTAAACTATTCTATCAAATCTTTGTCCTTCCAACTCATAATTATATTCCCATTAGTAATTTCAAGAACTTTTATTTTTCCAATAGGGTTAGACCTAAACCATATGTAAAGAATCAATAACAGTTATCAAGTGAATTAAAAAAATGTGTTTTTGATCTAAGTTTACTAGACATTCCTATAGAAACATAATATCCTAAATAAAATTCTTAAGTAACTTGTATGACTTTAAACATAATAATACTTTCATACCTGAAGTTCAAAACCAAATCTGAACTATCCAATTATTTTTTAGAGTCATTTTTACTAAAAATTAATATATCAAGTTATTAGTAATAATAATCTTTATTGTAATAATTACAAGCTTTGTATCGATTTCCTTTTTACAATGTGATATAGGATCTTTATCAAACACAATAACTTTATACTCTTATTCTTGAATATATTTTCATTATAGAATTATTTGGTAGATAATATTATAGAGGCAATAATAGTATTTTTATAAAGATTTTTAAGTATTACTTGATTGCAAATAGATTTATATAAACCAATGATAACAAACACATAGCCAAGTTTATATCCATACTAAATACTAAAAAGTCAACCATAATCAATACAGATTAATAAAAATAATAAGGAACGCTGTTTTATCTTCACTATATAAATTAAGCTAGATAATTTATCATAAATAAGAGACATTCAACATAAAACAATTCAATAGATATCAAAAATAGCAATTAAATCACCAGTCTAAAAGGTTTCGCTAGCCAATCAGACTTCAAAATCAAGTGTAATATACAAAAAAATAGAATTAGCCAAGACAACTCTAAAAATACAGGATTCATAATTCAAACTATCGCTATAGCTATATTTCTATCTCTTGTATCTTGGCATTTTTCTTTAGAAATTTCTTTAGAATTACTATTTTGATATTTTCTATGAGTTGTATAATAGCTGTTTATGGTACCAATATTCTGGTTTGTATTGCCAACACAAGTGTTTGGTGTTCTATCTAATTGATTAAATATATATTTTTTTGCATAAACCTTTGGATTATAATCTTACTTGAAGATTTTTTTTTAGGTTCTTTATTGAAAT